ACTTTAACTTAACTACTTTTATAAACACACGCTATAATTCACAGCGATTCACACACTTTACTTACTGTGCCTACTCTTCGCTTGACTCAATTATCTATCTCTATATCTATCTGTCTATGCAATTCTATCTTTTTCGCTGGCTTTATTTGCCGGGCTTATATACTAAAAAAAGAGGGCACCTGGAACAAACTAGAGTTGCCAGGAAAATTAATGCGTGACTTCCGCTGTCGCAACATTATAAACTAGAAGGAAGGCAACAACATATGTATGTATGATCAAATAGTTACATTTGAAAGTCATTTTTATAGTTAACACACGGCCCCAAAGTGCATAGTGCGTTTTTGCGGCAACGGGAATAGAACCGTGAAATCTCAGATGCACAGTCCATGAACACTGTACTACTACTAATAGAACACACCTGGCCATTACTGCATAAGCATTCTACTATATTATATTTCTAGAATCTTGTTTCAAACAATCAGTAGTAAAACTAAAACCACACATACTACACTACACATTACCAAGTTTCAAGAAAGAACAGGTGCAACATATTGCTTATTTAAACTGACTTGAAAAAATACCAGACGTCAAATAACCACTGGAAACAAAAGTTCGGTGGAAGCTCACCTTTCGTAAAACTCTCGGACTAAACGCCCTTCGAGCTCACCTTTCGTAAAACTCTCGGACTAAACGACCTTCGAGCTCACCTTTCGTAAAACTCTTGCCTAAACGACCTTCGAGCTCACCTTTCGTAAAACTCTCGGACTAAACGACCTTCGAGCTCACCTTTCGTAAAACTCTTGGACTAAACGACCTTCAAGCTCACCTTTCGTAAAACTCTCGGACTAAACGACCTTCGAGCTCACCTTTCGTAAAATACTCGGACTAAACGACCCTCGAGCAACGGAATGGATTCTTAGGTGTTATTCCTTATTTGAAAACATTCAGCACAATACTTAAACATTTAAACATCATGTATTTTCATGCTCTCAAAAAAAAAAAGTGATGAGAACTCGTCATAATTAATTTCATACATATATGTTGCCGGAGTACTTTACAAAGTGTAATTATAACTACATAATTGTTATATTTTTACTGCTTGATTAAATGTATTTATATATTATTACATTCCTTTTTCATTGAATTTTGTTTTTCTACCTTATCACCCTCGTGTATATTAACTGGCCAGCACCCGACTGTATTATTATAACATTACTTGTAGAAGTCGTGCAACTAAGGCAAAAAAAAAAAAAATTGACCCACCTACCAAAATTCCGCGAACTTGAACCACTACTCAACCATATATAGGGAAAGGTCTTTAGAAAAAATAAGTTCAGGGATTAATAATGGTCACAAACAGTTCAAGATCACGTTTGTCGCAGTACTTCAAGAGACCTTGAGTTTCTGGGAATTTTTTTATTTTACTTTCGTTTTTTTTTTTAATTTTTAGTTTTTGATTTGGCACAAGAAGTTTCCTCCTGGCTCTACGCCAATAATCCTTTCTATCGAAATATCTGTAGGGCAACGCGGACGTCTAAATCACTGCATGCAGAACTCAAGAAAATACTCGGGTCTTGACACCAGAGCTGTCAGGAGCTTAAATATAGAACGAAGCGTTGTCAAGTTTCTAGAATTTGGAATGGAAGAAAAAACCCTTGACAGATAACACCCTCAATACCAAAAAATTAAAAACTTACAAAAACTTACAAAATGCATTATTCTAACTTAGTTGACTTGTGGATTAAATTTTTTTAGCAGAAACTTTAAAATGCAAACAGTATAAAAGGTGGGTTCACCTAAAGCACAAAGTTAGTTCTGTTCTTCTTTTATTAGTTAGGCCTATCTATCATAACATTATTGTACCCATTTATTAACCTCAGCCTTAAAAGATCTTTTATTAGTTAGGCCTATCTATTATAACATTATTGTACCCATTTATTAACCTCAGCCTTAAAAGATCTTTTATTAGTTAGGCCTATCTATTATAACATTATTGTACCCATTTATTAACAGCCTCAGCCTTAAAAGATCTTTCTCTAAACAAAAATATTCTTGTCACAACTCCCGACAAAATCAATGAGATTGTCCTTAAAACTTTCGACAAATGGAATAGCAAATTAATCAATTTAACTGTTGTTAAGAGCAAAGCTATCTCCTCAGTGACACAACGGTATGTCTGCGGACTTACAACGCTAGAAACCGGGTTTCGATACCCGTGGTGGGCAGAGCACAGATAGCCCATTGTGAAGCTTTGTGCTTAATTCCAAACAAACAATAAGCGCAAAGCTACATAAAAGATTATCTAAGTTCTTCCCACCGCGGGTATCGAAACCCTATTTTCAGCGTTATAATGTAGCAGACTTACCGCTGAGCCAACGGATGGCGATTAGCGAATCAATCAATATATTAGGCTTCTACATCATTCACCGACTCTTCCTCCTCTTCACAAAAATACACAAATAAATTACGAACTAGTCCACTGAATATTAATAATGAATAACTATTTGTGAGGTACAGTCACATGTTACATAAACAAGTATTTTACCGATTATATTAACAAAATACAGTTTAAAATGTTACTGTAAATATTGTACTAATACTAAGTAATATGTATATCCAATGTTCTTTATATTTAAAGAATTGTAAACGTTATTTTTACAGATAGATACGTATTGTGCTCTGCTGGGAACATAACGCACATAATCAGCATCCTGGTGCTACGCATATGTGTGCATTTACGCATATTTACACAGTAAGCACATAGCTTTTTATTTTTGAATATACAACTTTGATTGGTAAAGCCTGGTGAAAACCAGAAGCTTAATTATTTAAATTATTTTTTTCAGAGGAGAGGGGAGTATGTCAAATTTCACATTTTCAGTATATGTGTTTGTTTATATGTTTACAATTAAGCACAAAGCTACACAATGGGCTATCTGTGCTCTGCCCACCACGAGTATCGAAACCCGGATTATAGCGTTGTAAGTCCGCAGACATAGTGCTGTGCCGCTGGGGGGGGGGGGCACATTTTAAGGTTAATTAAAAGTAAAGCAAATGCTCACACAAGTAGACTGATTTTTACATTTTAAGCATTTAAAACCAAGTGTTTCCACCCAGCCCCTGGACCACCAATAAAATTTTAAATGCCACTTCCTCCCTTCAACTGAAATTTGAAATGGTGATCTTGGAAATATGTCTTTTATTAACTGAAAATCAATTATTTTGGGGAAAATATTATTGATAAAAAACATAGCATCTAAAACTCTTGGGAAAACGAAAGAAGTCTTGAAGCCGAAACAGTTATTTACTGTTTCACCTACCGAGTAATTTTTCTTCTGTTTACTGTTTCACCTACCGAGTTATTTTTCTTCTATTTACTGTTTCCCCTACCGAGTTATTTTTCTTCTATTTACTGTTTCACCTACCGAGTTTATTGACTTTTTTACGTTTTAGCTGATTTTCTTTAACTGTATCACGTTTTTTAGCAAAACCTCCCTTATTGAGATATGCTTTTCCTTTTCCACGTTCTAGCTTATATATTAGTTTTGTTTCACTCTTCTGTGTGTGTTTTTGAACTTTTAACTACAAAGATGTTTTAAAATTCCACCAAAAAGAAGGTGACTCAGCTTTTTTTCTT